CGGAATCGTGGTGGGACCGAGGGTTTAAGTATCGTGGTGTGAACCCTTACTAATAGCTATAGCTTTTAGCTAAGTGGCTAACGCTGCGCGCTCATCCTTTGGTATCAGAGCGAGGACGCGCACTCGATTCCTGCCGAGGACGGAATTGGGGTAGCGGGTGGTAAGTCCCCACGAGATTCCCGAAGAGCGGGGGAATCAGAGTGGCGGAATCGTGGTGGGACCGAGGGTTTAAGTATCGTGGTGTGAACCCTTACTAATAGCTATAGCTTTTAGCTAAGTGGCTAACGCTGCGCGCTCATCCTTTGAAATACACATTAGTAAACAAGTTATATAAAACTTGTAGAACCCATCAATAATCTTATAAGCTCATTTATGTATGGAGAATTTCGTTATTGGTCAATTACATAAAAGAAAGATGAACGCATATATATTAGATTATAACATTAGGAATTTAGGATCTCCCCAGAAGGAGAATGTCCTTTATGTTGAAGATGTCTTTCCTACAATAACTTGTTCTAATGAGAGAATAGCTGTTTGCAATTTTTTTAACATGGAACATATTTTTCCCTATTTGAAATCAAATTGAGTCAATATCAAAATTATAAATTAAAATCAGAAAAAATAATGTTAATAGTATTTGTTGCGTTTATTGTACTTACAAAATAGAAATTTATATTGACTATAAAATATACCTAGTTTGTAATGAACTAAATTTACTCAAATCACAAAAAAAAACTTTGGTTACGTTTGGAATAGTCTCACTTAGTTAAAGATATATTGTTAAGAATTTTGTAATGAATTAAAATTATTGAAAGAATTTACTAAACAACATTAGTTTTATTTACTAAACATTTATGGTTTAATATATACTGATACATAAAAATACATAATATGATATTTAATAATTGTTTAACAACTTTAGTAGTAGGTCTGGAAAATAATATCTATCATTTTTTTGAATAAGGGGAAATATCAAAATCTTCACTAAAATTTTATGTTTTTTTTTTACAACAACACTTAAAATCTGTAAAATAATAATAAAATATTATTTCTTATAAAAAAAAATTAAATAAAATCTTCTATCTTACGTAATACTTAAAAATTCATAAAAAAATAATCAAATTTCAGTACGAGATCTACTGCATCCGATGGAATCACATCATTTTTAAAACAACTTTTTATTATTTATTTGTATTCATCCTAAAACATTTATAACAATCTTAATTCAAATACATTATTATATATATTTTTTTAAATATATCACTTTTTAAAAGTTTTTTTCTTCTTCTAATTTTAATCTCTCTAAATATATTATTTTTTTATTTTAGTTGTCATGATTTGTTTAAAACTCTTATCACATAATCGTTTAATTATTTATTTATTAAAAATAAAAATATCATTATTTAATAGTCAAGATAAATTATTCCTTCTAAAACAATCATTTGATCATTATTTTACAAAGAGTAATTAGTTCTTATCTCAAAATTCTAAAAATAATATGTTAGTTTTAACTAATCAAAACAATACAAATTAAGATATTAATAATACTATAGATAATAAAATTACTTGACACATTTTTCTTGAAGAAGTTATTTCATTGCCATATTTTAGATTATAAAAACAAATTGTTAGATGTTATTATTGGTCTATTTTAGATTATAAAAACACATTAATTCAAATCTCATATATAAAAAATAAAAGAAAAAACTTAAGATAAACAAATGGACATGGGTGAAACTTTTGTTATTTCAAAAAATGAAAAATAATTTGAGGATAATCATAATGTTTGGGTTGGTTAACTGTTTTGCAGTTGTTACAGGAGGAGGAGTAGCTTTTCATACAATGTTATGAAATTTTTTTTCTAGTGTTTATATATAAATGAAAGATGAATCAATATTATAAATTTAATAAGGAATTCCTTACTTTATTTACATATTATTTTTATTTGGCAGTATTTGCAGTTTTTTTCTTCCACCACCATAAAAATGATGGAACATAAGATCTCAATGTTTATAGGTGGCTTATTTTTCCTAGTTGGTGTATTATTGAATGATTTTGCGATCAATATTAAGATGTTTATCATAGGTCGTCTATTACTTAGTTTTGGTGTTGAATATTGTAATCTAGTGAGATTTTGTTTTACTGTCAATGCTTTCTAGTTTTATTATATAAATATATAATTTTTCACGTTTTTAATTGTTATCTTTTATTATTATTATTATTATTTCCAATAATATGTACGTATTTATCCGAAATGACTCGCCAACTATAAAAGGTGCACTAAACATTGGATTTTAAATGATAATCACAATTGACATCTTAGTTACAAACCTTATTAACTATGAGACTGGTAAACTAGAATATGGTCGAAGAATTTCTTTAGGTGCTGGTGCAATTCATACTATTATGTTATGTGTAGAATATTTTTTTTCAGGTGACATACCTAACTTAATTGAAAGAGGTAAAAAAGAATCAGTTAAAAAAATGTTGCGAAAGGTTCATGGCATAAAAAATGTTGACGAGCGATTTTAAGACCTTGTTGATGTGAAATATCTATGAAAAAATATTACCCAACTAAAATATAGACCTCTCAACTCACTTTTTGCTCTCTAATTCCATTATTTTAACAATTCATCATTACCAATGTTATTATGTTTTATGCACTTGTTCTTTTTAAAACTTTAGGGTTTAGTAACAATATCTCCCTTATGTCTACCGTTATTATTGGAGGTGTTAATGTGATTACCACTTTTGTATCTATTTTTTGTGTGGACAAATTTGGAAGAAGGATATTATTCATCAAATGTGGTATTCAAATGTTGATTTGTGAGGTAAAATCCTTATTACTTGTGTTAATGTTTTTTTATTTTAATATTTTTATAAATAAATTTTTTATCACTTGATTTAATTTATTGACTAGCATGAACAACTAATCTTAAAGTCATAATAATTGTTTATCGTTTGCTATTAGAACCATGATTGCTCTAAAGTTTGGAGTGACCAATGAAGACTCATTGACAAATGGAAAAACTAGTATTCTCTTATTCTTTATATGTGCATATATAATCTAACTTGCGTTGTTCTTCTTTAGATCTACTTTGTTCACTCCAATAGTATCAGAAATTGAATCGATACATAGAAAATGAATGTGTTGTCATACTATTAAGTTTACTGAAATATATCATATAGAATTCAGATTATACCACATCACTGAGCTTGACTGCAAGACCCACCTGTCGAACAGGAACGAAAGTCGACCTTAGAGATCCAACGGTGCCGAGTGGAAGAGTCGTCGTTCAACGGATAAAAGTTACTCTAGGGATAACAAACTCATCTTCCCCAAGAGCTCACATCGACAGGAAGGTTTGACACCTCGATGTCGGCTCTTCGCCACCTGGGGCTGTAGTATGTTCCAAGGGTTGAGTTGTTCGCCATTAAAGTGGTATGTGAGCTGGGTTCAAAACATCGTGAGACAATTCAGTCCATATCCAGTGTGGACGTTAGAACATTGAGAGAACCAGCCTAACTCCAAGAAGTTGTTTAAGAATAGTGGCCTCATGATATTATGCATGGGTCAGATATATTATGGCGAATTCGTTAGATTTCATTGTATCTTCCACGATGGAATCTAATAAGGTAATTGTTTACATAATCATATGCATGGTTATAAGGTCCATTAGGATGGTTGGTTCCTAGTGAAATATGTTCTCTTGAGGTTCGATTTGTAGGTTAAGGCACCAACATTGTTGTAAATATATTCTTCAATTTTGTTGTTGCTCAAATTTTTTTAACCATGTTTTGTTACTTGAAGTTTGATTTGTGTTCATCATGACCACTTTTTTTTTCTTTATTCACACTAAAGACAATAAATGTTCAAATCAAAGAAAGGAATAAAGTTTGGGAATCACATTAATTTTGGACTAAATTTATTCCAAATGATAAAATAATCGATAGACATACTCGTGTGATTATACCTTAAAATTATATTAATTAAAATTTTTGTTAAATTTATCCAATAAATATTACTTCTATTTCTACCTAAATCATTGTAATTCTTTTAATTGACAATAATTATAATTATTGTCAATTTTTAATAAATTTATAAAATTTTTAATTCAGTATTTATTTTCATATTGTTTTAAAATATTTTTAAATTTAGCTCAATTTTGTATTTAAATTTAATTTTAATATTAAATTATTTATTTCAATAATAAATAAAAAGATTTAATATATATCCATAATACAAACATATATATATATATATATATATATATATATATATAAATTTAGGAGAGTCATAAGCCTTCACCTTTTAAGGCTGGGAAATAAAAGTTATGATAATTAACACGCTAATTGAAGTGATGGTAATGATCAATCGCCCAAAATTTTCTCTAATCTCACTTCGAATCCATAAAAGAAGAGACAGAGAGAGAATTTGGAACTACCGGTTCTACTTTTTTTTCCTGATAAGAAAACACATTTTCAATTACTGTGGTAAGAGTAAAAGAACGAGGGAATAAGGGAAGTGATATAAGTTTAATCGATGGCATAACGTTAGAGACTTCTCGCGAGTTAATTAATGAATGATGGTTTTAGGTTTGATCAGAAGTAAACAACAAACATTTTTTTATGATCATATAGAGTGTATGCAAACATAAATCCAAACAAAGTTTTACAATTCAAGTACCAAATGAATTAAAATTCTGAGAATATATATGTTACTGTCAACATTATTTTTAAGTGCACAAAACTGACCATTCTCGTATTATTCCCACGCAAATATCCTTTCAAGATCTTTCCTCGTAACAACCATGTTATTGGCTTATGTGATATGGATGAGACTTATGTATACAAACTACCTTCACCAAGTTATTATTCTGTATTTTCAGCTTCAGAAAAGACATAGATTGTATAAGCCTGTTAAACTGTTTCATACAAGATGTGGAAACAAAAGTCTCACAGAACAAGTCAGAATTTTGAAACATGAATGAAAATGATGACTATGAAACTGATGTCGATTTCAATAAATCATCCACGTAGACTTTAAGTTTACTTTTTGTAATTGCCCCTTCCCTTCTGCTTTCTGGAACTTCTTGCCCATTCTTGAAGAGTAGTAGTGTTGGTAGTCCATAAACTTTATACTCTTCAATTAGCCGTGGGTTGGCATCATGATCAATCTTTACAACAGTTAATCTGTCTTCATATTCCTGCAGTTTATTGCATCAAAAAATTCAGGGGACAAAATTTTAAGACCCCAAAGAACACTTGACACAGTAGTTTGTAGGTGAATCATGCTATTTGTTTCACATTCAGAAAAATTCTGCTCCTTGAATCTTGAATAAGAATGATCCAACCAAAACTAATTGTCTCAAACTTTTTTCTAACATTAAAAGATTGCAAATAATGTCAATTTCAAGTATGTGGCTTTGTGCATGGTGGATCTTCCTCTTATAAATATGAGCTTATATAGGAATCATAAACTGCATTTTGTAATTTAGTTTCCCTTACATGTCCTGTATTGGCATGAATGAGAATGCATCAACCTAATACATTTGGCTCCAACATCAAAATAGTTTTTCACGAAATCGAGACATTATACAGAGAATGTTGTTTGCTCATTCTTCTAACTTTGAGTGACTGTACTCAGCAGCAATGACCAAAAGCTTTCCTAAATTCATGATTTCTATTTTACATTTTTATTGTCATGCCTCTTCCACCTATGACCATTAGGCGCTTTAAGTTGAGATTCATTCAACAATCATTTGCCAGAAATCCAGAAAACTACCAGTGATCCAATTAGAGGAAAAATCATTACAACACTGTTTTCTTTTCTATTGCGATATTTGGATTACTTCTAACACAATTTCTATCATAAGCTTTCTCTTTATAGTTTATATTTATTAAAACTATAAGATCACAAGTGAGATCCATTAGATATAATAAGATACACACGATTTTGTGATTTCTAACAACAAAACTCTGATTCAAGGGATTTTTTTAAAATCTTTCAACGATGCAAAGATTAGTTTTTTGACATCATTAGTTCAGGGTCTTTCAGATCAGTTCTTAACTGAGTCTCGTTTAGTCAGCCAATTAACAAAAACACCAATCTAACATAATAGTAAACTCAATGCAATAAATAGGAAGTAACACACTACTAAAGTGCAAATCTCCATTCTTTATGTATTAAAACTGGATTGCTAGAGAAGGTGTGACAAATGACAATCCTTAAAATAGAAGTTTCTGAAACAATCAATTTCAAAAATCTGTTTACTTTATTAAAAAAAAAAACGCTTAAAACACACAAACACGTTAGCCTACAATCAAGATTTCAGAATAGTAAGAAAATCAAATTTTATTCTATACGGTAACAAAGAAAACCTACCCTCTGGAGTCCCAAACAATGCATAAAAGGTGAACACTACTAATAATGGAAATAAACAAGTTGAAGTTTGGAAGCAAAAGAAAATGAGAATTGGAGGGAGAAAAGAAACCTTAGCGAGGGCTTCCATAGCGGGAGAGATGAGACGGCAAGGACCGCACCATGTGGCCACGAACTCAACCAGAACAGGAAGATTCGCCTTCAACACCGTCTCTTTGAATTGGGTCTCGTTAATCTCCACCACACCCGCACCGCACGTCACCGTAAGTTGAGGAACCGCAGAGGAATAATTCCGGAATCTGGGTCTTGTTCTCTGAGACCAGAGCCTCTGCCTCGCCGTGACCGACCAGGAGTTAGTGATAGGAACAGAGGACGAGGTTGACGCAGATGCACACACTGTACGCACCGGAACCGGAGGGAGTGACAGTGTCACGGCGTCCATGTGTTGGAATTGAAACGATAAAGCAAAGGAAAAAGTTACGATCAAGGATGTTTTGTCTTGCACTATTTTATATATATATATATATATATATATATATAATATTCGTGAACCACACAATATTAGGAATAATTTCGTGACATCAATTCAAGGCTATTTACCATTCAATCAACTAAGATTTGAAAGAGCAAAGATTTTTTTTTTAAATTAACTATTTTTATTAGTTAATAAATATGTAAACAAATATTACGTAATTTTTTAATATTTGTTTTTAATTTGTATAGATTAATTTTAATTTATGAATTTTTATTACTTTATTTGTGAAATAATGACCGAAGAAATAAATAAAAAATTATCTACTTTTTCAAATGAGTATAAACAACGTATATAAAAGACATCGGTAATATACAGTCACAAATTTATCTTCTATTATTTGTTATGTTTAAATGATAAAAGTAAAATTTTATATTCAAGAGTTTTCGAATTTTTATTTTAAGAGAAATTTAGGATCAATATAAAACATTCTATGAATGTAGATGAATTGAAAATAAAAAAAATCAAAATTACTTTGTCCCTAAATAGATATGTTTGATTAGGATATCAAAATAAGTACTTTCATATAATATCTTGTACTGTTACAAATTATAATTTTTACTCAAATTTAATTTTATGTTAAGTTAATGGATTAGTGAATAAATTTTGGTCCAATTAAAAATAAATAAAATTTATTAATTATTTTATATTAAAATAATTAATTAAATAATATTTAAATATAAATAAAAAATTAAAATTATATTAATTAAATTATTTTTTATTTCAGATATAATAATTTAATATATAAATTAAAAAAATATTTAATCTTAAAATAAAAATTAAAACTTCAATTTTATTATTATTATTATTATTATTTTAATAATTTATTAATCTAAAATTATAATTCATCTTAATAATTAAAATTTAAAATAAGTAAATAAAAAAATTATTCTTATATTTATTTTAAAATAAGTTAATATTTTATTAAATTAATTTATAATATATATATATATATTTTTTTTAATAAAATAATATTATTTTATTATTAAAAAAATATTATTCTAAAAAATAGATTGTGTAATAAATTTATGGATTAGTTTTCTTAAGTTCATGTAATTTATAGTCTAAACGAACTTGATGAAATGAACTTAGTTTAATTTAGATTATAAATTCCTTAATTTAATTTAACTTGTTTTTTTTATTATTTTATGTTGATTCCTCGTATTATATATATTCAAACACTTGTATATCCAATAAAAATAAAATTAGTTTAATAACGAATAAAAGTCTAAAATACCAGTTGATGTTACTTAAAAAAAACTGTCTTTATATACCTTAAATATTATATATATATATATATATATATATATATATATATATATATATTTTTATTTTTTTTTTTTATTAATTACTCAATCATCCCATCCCATTCTCTCAACCTCGTAATCAAACAAAAAATATTTTTAGAAACTACTTTAAAATTAAAACAATTTATTTTACATTTACAAAATTAAAATACTATTATATTTTTAATACAATATTTAATATGCAATATTAATATATAAACACATAAATTACATAATGTTATTTAAATTATAAATAAATTATATCATTAATGATCAAAACAAAATCCTTTTTTTTAAGTATTAATTATGTAAATTATGGATATCTAATAATAATTCTTATCTAAATTATTAAAAAAAATATTAATTTTAAAAAAATATTAAGATATTAAAAAAAATTATTTTCAAAAAATATAATATTATTGAAGAAGTTATTTGATTATGTAATATATTTTTATTTGTTAGATGTTATCATTAGCATATTTTAGATTATAAAAAAAAAAGTAAATCTCATTCATAAAAAAAATTGACAAAGTTAAGATAAATAAAAAGATCATTTAAATATTTGTAAAGATGATGGGTAAAATTTTTGTTACTTCAAAATATGAAAAAAATAATACGAGGAAAAATGACAATGTTGGTGTTTGGTCATATATTTTGTAGTAACTATGATTAATTTACTGTTTAGTCACGTATTGGAATTGGAAAGAGTGACTTCCATAAAATCATTCTTAATACAATTATTTTTTAATGTCTATAAACAAATGAAAGAGGGATGTTATAACAAAATTCAATATTGCAAATTTGATAACGAATTTCTTATTTTTTTTACATGTTCTTCTCTCTTTGTTTTTATCACACAAAATTTTTCTTCTTGATGCATTGTATTAACGAAGAATAACGTTTATATGAAAATTAACTTTTTGATGATATCCTTATAAGATAGTTAGGTAGTTGTGTAAGTAGTTTGTATAAAATGAAATAATATAATCTTTGTTAAAATAAAGAAGGTAAAAAGATGAAAATAATCAATTATATCAAAACTAAATATATATTAATCAATTAGATAAAGTACTTAATCTGCTATATGACTTAAAATTATGTTTTCATAATGCAAGTTAATAATTGATTATGTGCTAAAATATTTGTTTTAACATAACACATTAATAATCGATTATGTTGGTACCTATTCGATTATATGACTTATTTTCGAACTATTACTACATATAAACAATCGATTAAATATTCTGTTAATCGATTATCTGGGTCAGTTACAACAAATTTTTACTCTATAAAATGTTGCAAACTTTCTTCAATTAAATATATCTTTTAGATACAATTAGAAAAAAACATTGTGAGCATAAAAAAATGTGTGTGATTTTATAAAATGCTTTAAATATCAACTTAAGAAAATGTTATTTGACTATAGGATACAATGTTCTAAAAGTCTAAGGTGAAATCGTTGTTGTCTTTCTATGAATCTTTTATTGAATGTTGATGTATGAGAGATGAGCTACATCAGATTAGCTTGAGAATTGTGAGTAGAAACATTTTCAAGTTTTGTGATTTGTGCTTAGATCTTGATTAAAGGTTGTTGTAGTCAAGATTATTATGTTAGGTTGTAATATGGTTACTAAACAAATTTTAATAAAAACTCTAAGTTAAGGTTGCTTGGTTAGACTGGATGTATATTAAAAAATAATCGAACCAATATAAACTCTTGTAATCTTAATATTGTCCTAGTTCTTTTCAATTTGATTATCGAAAAAAAATTTTAAATAATTGATTATAATTGAAAAAAAAAATTACAAACCTAATTCAACCCACCTTCTTGGGTGCATTTAGACATTCACATTTTTTTAACACATTGTTGAATAGTTTTGTCGTCGATATTGAAATGTTTATCATATGTCATTTATTGTTTAGTTTTGATGTTGGATATTGTAATTAGACAAGATACATATATTCTCATCTCTTGCAAGTTTTATTATACAAATGTAGATAACTTTTCATGTTTAAATCTTTTTGTTTTATTCTTTTTCTTCTTCTTATTCTTATTATTCAATAATTTGTACTTATATATTTGTTTGAAATGACTCTTAAAAAAAATAATAAGAGGTGCACTTAATATTGAATTTCAAATGATAATCACAATTGACATCTTAATTACAAACATTATCACCTATGAGACTATCAAACTAGAATCTAGTTGAAACATTTATTTAGGTATTAGAGTAGTTCCTACAATCATATAATGTGTAAAATATTTTTTCTTAGGCGACACACCTAATTCCTTAATTGAAATAGATAGAAAAGAAGCAGCTAAGAAAATTTTACAAAAAATTTGTTATAGTTGACTATGAGTTTCAAGACCTTGTTAATGCATATGGAATTGCTAAAGATGTAAAATAACCACAAAAAAATATTACACAACCAAACTCATAAACCTCAACTCAGTTTTTTTTTTCTCTAATTTCATTCATCCAACAATTTATTGGTATCAATATTATCATGTTTTATACCTTAATTCTCTTCAAATTTTTTAGCTTGTATAACAATATTTCTCTTATATTTTTCTTTATTAATAGCAATATTAATGTTGTTGTCACTTTTATTTTCATTTTATGTGTGAACAATTTTGAAAGAATATTAATGTTCCTCATCCAAATACATATTTAATAAGTAAAATATTAATTAATCATCAAATAATGTTTATTATTTTTTTAATTATATCTAGATAAAATAAGTCTTTTATTCATATGCAATTTTTTTTCTCTACACATCAATTTTTTTCTTTTCTTATTCATTCCTTATCTTTTTCTTTTTTTATGTCTTTATTTTTTTTCTTTCGCCTCTCACTTATTCTTTTAATTAAACTACTATATTAAAAATTAAAAATATATATAAAAATAAATATTTTAAAATCAACAATGAAACTAAAAAATATTAATTATTTATTTAAAATTATGATGGCAATAAATAAATAAATTTATTTTGACAATAATTATTTAATTTAATTTTTTTATCATAATAAATAATTATTTATCTAATTAAAAAATTTAAATATATTTTTTATTTAATAATTTAATCTAGTTATAATTAGATTGAGTTACCATATTAGTTAGATTAGGTAATTTAAAAACATATTATTAAAAAATTACTTTAAAATAAATATTCAATTTTTTCTTAACAATTATAACACAAGAATAATATTTGTAGTATTTTAAATTTATCATATAATATTTTTAAATATAATATATTAAATTATAATATTTATATATTTTTATTTTTTAGTAATAATAAAATATTTATTTTATCAAATTTGAATTGAATAATAAGATAAAATGAGAGAATAACAAAAGAGGAGAAATAAAATAAATGAAAACAAACACGAAAAACAAATAATAATAATAATAATAATAAGAAAATAAAAAGAAATAAATAAATAAAATAGAAAAACAACTGTATTATATCAAACAAAATTATTTTTCTTTATTAAATTTTATGTAAGAACAACTAATTTTTATTTTTAAATATATTATTTATGGGATTGATTTTATAATATTGTTATTTGATAAATATTAAATAAAAAATATTTTGATATAATTTGAAAAATGTATGAAAAAG